CTCCCTTGCTCCTTCTGTCATGTGAAGACCCAAAACTAAGACAGCCACCTATGAACCAGGAAGTAGATTCTCACCACACACTGAATCACCTGGTGCCTTGATCTTGAACTATGAGAAACAAATTTTCATTGAAGATACCCAGGTTATAGCATTATTATAGCAGCCTAACCGGACTAAGCAGCCTAACCAGACTGTTGAAATTCTTCCTCAGTTTTCACAAAGAGATAACATTTATTTGAAGAGAAATTTACTCCAAGCACACAGATGTATAAAAGGCTGTGAAGATATTGAGAAGCAGTTACTAGGCAGAAGGCTAGATTTTTTTTTTTCTTTCTTTTTTTTCCCCCCTCCAAGTACAGGGCAAAAAGCCCAATTCATTTTTTACTTTACCAACTTAATCCTGAAGGATAGTCTTGCAGCCTACAAGATTCAAGATTTCAGTACAAATAGCTAGATTCAGAAACTCTAGGTGTTGCTCACAAATACTTCAGAATTGGAATATTAAATATGCAAGTGTAAAGATCTGCTGTAGACATGTGAATGATCCAGTCAAGTTTGTCACTGTAAGAAGGGTTGGGATTTGCATGAATTGCTATGTGGGTATATGACAGAGGCAAAATCTTTATGTAGTGCATTTTGAGTTTCTACAGTAAGAAAGAAACCATGTAGTAGAATAGGAAGAAAACTTGTTTAAAGTTTTTTTTCCTTTTTTCCCCTAATATTTCTTATTTAATTCTATACCTTGTCTTAATTCACTGCTCTGTGCAAAACATGGGTCTACTATCATTTTGCCTTAAATGACCAGCCAATCCTATTAAACAAAGAAACCTTTCTTTTTTCCCCATTCAGTCAAATACTTGGTTAAACTATTAAATGGTTGCTTTCACATTTTGCATATTTAGCCCAGGATTTCATAAAGTTACTAATAGAAATAATTAGAATATTTCGTGAGCACTTGTGTGTGCCAGATACTACGCTTTATTTCTCACAGCACCTTTATAAGAAAGATCTTATTACTCCCACTTTATAGATAATGCAACTGAGGCTCAGAAAGCTAAAGAACTTACCCAGTGTCAAAGTGCCAGTGGTGGTAGAATGGGATTCAAACCCTGGTGAAACAACTCACTTTGGTTCCAATTAACAAGCCATTTCCAGCAAATGTAGTTAAACATTTGAGTTACCTGGAATGATCTCATTATATAATTTTGGTCTCCTCGGACATAGGTCAAATTACTTTGAGACAGACCATCCAAGTGCTTACAGTTATTTTAGTGGTAAGTAGGTTAAACAAATTTGAAATGCAAGACTTGTTTTTTCAGGCCATAGCTCCTTGGTAAATAATTCATGATTCATTCAGCAGCTATGCTCAGTGCTACCAGTCAGTGAGGGCATTGTGGGAGATATAAATACAGAGCACAGTCTAGTGAGAGAGAAGCGTGATGTTTGAAGGGTGTAAACAAACTGCTGTTGGCATTTAAAAAAGGGAAAGATGTGTTCTATTGGAATGGATCAGAAAAGGCATCATGAAGTCCCTGCACCCAAAATGTTCTCTCTCCCAGACACCCCACGGCTCACCTCCTCACCTCTTCCAGGTTGTTGCTGAAATGTTACCTGCTTATCAGGCTTTCTCTGAGCACCCCATTTACAACCACTCCTCATTATTTATTTCCCTGCTTTGCTTTTTCCATAGCACTTAGCACCTGTTGGCATACTACATGCTTATTTATTGGTTTCCTGTCCCCCGAAATTAAAATGTAAGCTGTACCAAGGCAGGGTCCTTTGGCTGTTTTGTCCACTGATACAAATCTAGTCTAAAAACAATGCCTAACACAAAAGTTAGGGAAAAACCATATATTTGTTCAACCGATGAGAACATAAGACTTAAGGTTGGCCTGAGGAATGGATAGCATTTAGGTAGGCATTATTGGGGGGAAGAATTCCAGGTGAAGGAAATGACTTAAGCAAAGAGTGGAAGCAGCAAATTACATGGTCTGTTTGAAGAACTGTGTGCTGGTCAATTTGGATAAATTATAGAAATACGGTGAGACGTAGTCTGGAAGGACCTATGTTATGTAGATCTGAGTGATTGACTTAATTTCACAGGCAGATAGAGCCCTTGAGATTCAGAGTTTTGAAATATCCTTATTTAATATTTAATAATTAGACAAAACAGTTCCAGGTAATGCAAATGTAGGGGTAGACCCAGGGTGTGTGGGTCCTGAAGCTACTATAATTTTAGACCCTGGCAAAACAGCCTACTTGGATTCAAGTAATTGGCCATTTCTAGCAAATGTAGTTTGGCATTTGAAAAATAAAAAGAACTTAAGTACAGAGAAAATGATGAATGCTAAATTAGATATGAACTCTGGCCTTGCCCCTTTCATGTCACAATGCTGAGTTGGTGCAGTGGTTAGGAGTCCTCCCAGCAGCCCTTTCTTTCCTCAGCAGCCACCAATAACCCAATTACACATGGAAGTGATTACAAGCTACATAAATATATTCTGCCAGACCCAACTTCTGTTCTTCACTAACTCTCAGAAATGCTTGTAGCCACTCAGATGATGCTAAACAAAAAGAGATGGATGGTGGCAGAGAAGTCAGAGACCCAGACTGTGACAAATTGTGAGTGAAATATCAGGGATCATGGGAACTCCTTTTTAGGATCTTGGAAGGAGACAGAACAAATGAGGGACCCTAAAGTTTTATTGGTTTCATGGTTAAGTCGCTTCTGGAACTCTGTGAAAGGGAATGTGATGGATTGGGAGATTGGAGGAGTGCAGGATACAGGCGATGAGGAGATGGTCGGCATGGGAGTTGGAAAAGGAGCACGTGAGGGAGGATACAAGGAAGCCACCTAGCATGGGATTCGGCCATTGACCCAAAGGAAAGAAAGGTCAAAGGTGTTGGAAGTTCTACCTCAGGATAATAAGTAGTTACCTGGGAGTGAACTGTTCTTAAAGCTAAATCTTTCTCTGTACATTAAATGCTCTTTTGGTTTAGGTTTGAATACCCTACACTTATTAGATTACTGGTGCCCGAATGACTACATCTTTGGCCAGTGGAAGTGTCTTAGGGGTGGCTTCCAAGTCTTTTGACATGACCTCTGTACTCTCAGACCTTCCTTGCTTTCTGGTGAGATGAGATATTCTAGGCTTGTATATTTCCTGCACCATACCTGGAACTACCATTTCCTTAATAAATACCAGGTTCTTTTAATTAGAAACTGTATTTTCATATTTTCAAGCCGTATCTGGTGTGAAGGGTGCTCATTACCAGTGGGTCAGTCTTTGTTTCTGGGCCATATCAAAGGACAGAGCCAAAAAAGGTATGTGTGTATAGACATATGCATATATATACATGCATATATTTTTCCATCTTAGGCACATGAGATTTTTTAAACATTTTTAGAGGAAACTGCTTTAAATTTGCTCTATTATTCTTTAAGCAATGAGAGCAGTAGGTTTTTTTTTTTAATGTTTATTTATTTTTGAGATAGAGACAGAGCATGAATGGGAGAGGGTCAGAGAGAGAAGGAGACACAGAATCTGAAGCAGGCTCCAGGTTCTGAGCTGTCAGCACAGAGCCTGATGCGGGGCTCAAACTCAGGGACCGTGAGATCATGACCTGAGCTGAAGTCAGATGCTTAACCAACTGAGCCACACAGGTGCCCCTGAAAGTAGTAGGTTTTGCAGTGGAGCCTTTGTGGTATGAATTAGTGCAGCTTTCTCAGGCAACTTACTTATAAAGAGAAATAAACTTAAATACCAGGAGAATTTGGTTGGCAAATTAGTAGTTCAGTAAGTGGAAACTCAGTGTTAGCATTTTTGAGCTGTTATGCTTTAGAATATAAAATGACCATGCTGCATTGGGACGACCTTTTGAAGTTTGCAATATTTTCATTAGAGATAACACTGAATAACCAGTAATGTTGGTTCTAACCCCACAGTCACAAACAATGACAGCCATAGTCCATTTATGATGACCTTATGGCATATAAAGAAAACTTCTCCTACTTTAATAATTTACTATAAAGTTAAAAATACAATTACACAGAACAGAAAATTAAAAAAAAATCCTGTTGTGTAAATCCTTCAGTTGGCTTTGCTTTTGAGGAAGAGTTTACTTAGTTTTTTTTTTTTTTTTTAAGAAAAAATAAGTTTGGGTTATATAGAACTTCAAATCCAAAGGTCTCTTCCATCCCCAACATAAACTGTAGAAATAAATGTGTTACCATGGGGATTCACCCTCAAATAGGTTTTATTGCTTATTTATATTTGAAACAATGCATCTTTAATGAAACAGTATCACTAAAAACTATGTTAGGCTATCAAATACCTCATAAATAAGGCTTAAAAAATTTTTTTTTTGGTTATTTTTGAGAGAGAGAGAGCGCGTGAGCAGGAGAGGGGCAGAGAGAAGGGAGACAGAATTGGAAGCAGACTCCAGGCTCTGAGCTGTCAGCACAGAGCTCGATGCAGGGCTGGAACTCTCAAAGCATGAGATCATGACCTGAGCTGAAGCTGGCTGCTTAACTGACTGAGCCACCCAGGTGCCCCTCTCATAAATAAGTCTTGGTTAAGACATTATTTTTATGTTACAGGTAAATTTTGGTAAAAAAAAAAAAAAAAACTACCACAAAAAATGGTCATAGGCATTGCCTTTTAAGAGAAGCAAAAAAAAAAAAAAAAAAAAAAAAAAAAAAAAAAAAAAAAAAAAAAAAAAGGGAGGGAAGGGGGAGGCATTCAGTGCTGTAGAACCGATGATTGATACTCTGACCATGAAACAGGAAAATAGACTTCATCTTTTATGCCAATTGCAATAAAGTGAGAGTGGCTTCTGGAGCACTGTCTTGGGATAAATTCTGAGACCACTTCCAGCCTCCATGGGAAGGAAATGGTAATCAGTAAGGACAGAGGATCCACAGTATATATGCCATGCATCTGGTATCCATGATGAAACAGCATTAAAAACAAGCAAATCAGTAAACATCACAGCCTTACCAGATAAGCCACCCACATCCATCTTCTTCAGGTTCTTTGCCTCCAGAATGACCACAGTCAGCTTGCCAGCAGTAGGTACATAGCGAAGGGAGAAGCAGATATCACCCAGTTTCTCTTGCTGTGAAAACCAATAAGAGACTATAAGTGACTCTGTGAATGAAGGTGAATATAGTTTGTACACATACATTGCAAATTCCTCAGGAGGAAGATTAGGACAATTAGAATTTGAAAGTGCTCGGGTTCATTGGCATGTACCCAGTGGTCTTTCATTCACTAAGATCTGAAGAGTGATTGTAACCCATTTCAGTTTTAAATAGCTCATCTATACTTTATCATTCATCAAAATATATCCATAATTCAACAGTTCAGGAAATGAGACCGAGATGACATTTTTAGAAATTCCACTCTGAATAGCACCACAATGCTTTTGGCACAATTTCATAACTTTATTAAATGGCTTTGAAAAGAGCCTAGCACTCCTTTAGCAGAATCAATCTGCCTAAATTTTTGTCTTTTTACCTTTCAAATAGGATTATGTCTACTACTTTAGATTTTTGGGAAGAGGACTTGTATTACTGTTAGACTGACTTTTTTAAAGAATTTTTTTAATTTGGCATTTTTATTTACAAGTAAGCTCTACACCCAATCTTGAGAGCAAGAGTCACATGATTTATCAAGTGAGCCAGCGGGGCTGAATTGTTAATAAGAAATTCAGAATTCCTAGGAGTGGAAGGGCAACAAGTAGAAGTTTTTGCCCATTCAGTTTTACTCATTTCAAGTGAGATCTGACTATTCCCTTATTCTCCCCTTATTTGTACAAATCTAAGCAGTAGGTTGGAAATTTGAAATGTACAGTCATACAAAGCACCTCCTAGCCCCTCAGGTTATTTCATTGCTTTCCTTCTTTAGGCCTAAGGAACAGTCACCAGTCCTGTACTCTGACATTTCTGAACATTTGATTCAGTTTAAAATGATGGTATATAGAAGTTTTACTTTTTCTCAGAAAGAACTCCTATGGGTTCGCACCCCTTAGTACCTTCTTAGGATAACTAATTCAGAGCCATGATATTGTTCAGCATGAGTAGAATTCTTGCATTCACATGTGTAAGTATGAGAATGGGCGGAGACTGAAGGATCTAAACTATATTTTTAAGTTTATTTTGAGAGCAATAAAGTGAGCAGGGAAGGGTCAGGGAGAGAGAGAATCCCAAGCAGGCTCAGCACTATCAGTGCAGAGCCCCATGTGGGGCTTGATCCCACAAACTGTGAGATCATCACCTGAACCAAAATCAAGAGTCAGACAACTAACTGAGTCACCCAGGTGCCCTAAACTACTGACACAGGAAATTAGGTATTATGGAAAATAAAGGTTTATTTCTTAGAATACCTTCCTGCCCCCCCTCAAAAAAAAGTGAATTCTGATTCCACAGATGATGGTTGTATCCGACATCTGCAGTTGGACTCAATGTAAGAATAAGGTACAGAAGGCCTTCTCATGTTATGTTCTTATTATGACTGTATTTGGCCTTATTGATAACTTTATGTGCTAAATCAGCCCAAGTCTCCAGTGTAGAAATAACTGCCTAGATGTAATTTAACAACCTCAGGAAATGTAATTCCTTTTACTGGCCATAAAGCCATATTTTAAAAAGGAAAGGGAATCTACCTGTTCTGATTTATCTATAGGTGAAAAATAATGTTCTGTGTGTGTGTATGTGTGTGTGTGTGTGAGAGAGAGAAAGAGAGAGAGAGAGAGAGAGAGAGAGAGAGAGAGAGGAGTTTGTGCTTAAGTAATGCTTTATTGGAAACATAATATGAGTTTATAATCCCAATTGATTCCTTGAGTCCTCAGAGCATCTTATCCATCTCTTATGTCACTAAGGACTCTTTGTTTATTATGCACGTCTTAATTTTCCCATATGACTGTAAACTCCTTGAAGACTGGTCCTTGTCTGAAATATCACTTTCCATGCATTCTCAAAAAAGTAAATAAATGGAAATTTTAGATAATATTGCTGTTTTGAATTACCTAGGTCATATCTCCCTTCCACTAATGTAGATAATAGTAACTTGTAATGTGCTAAATTCACCCGAGGTGCCTACTTATTCTCTAGGAATTAATTTACACATGAAGAGAATCTGGTAGAATAAATTCCATTTCATAGTCTGAAAATACAGAATGGGAATCAATACCCTAGAAATTAATACAGGGTGTGGACAGATTCATCTGAACCTTATAAGAGAAATATAAATGAACAAAATTGCTCTTCAAAAATACTCATTAGGAGGATTCATTTTGCAGGATTCTATCTTTTTGCCACAGTACCCTCCCTGGGGCACTCACTGTCTTGCAGAACCAGGTGACTCTAACCGTTCTAGTTAGGCGCTTTAGATATGACTGTTCTCTCTTAAACAGCACCTCTTTTATAGTCCAGTCTAAAGATACAATTTATGGCATCTCAGTTGTTTCAAGAAACATCACAACTTATCTTTGTTCTAATACTTCTTTATTATTCAATCTTATGAAACATAGGGAATTTTTAAGATTTTGCATAATATCTAGTTTGAAAGGGAGTGGTTACAGAGTTTGAACCTCCCATGCCTCAGGTAGGAGAAGTGTGTAGTTACCTGTAATTGTAAAGTTATGGAGTGGAAGAAGAATGAATGTTGGGGGGGGGGTGGTGAATAAAGATGGATGTTTTGGGAGAAAGGAAATATGGAAAAATGCTTTTTTAGCACCAGTTAAGGATTTACATTTAATCCTTAATTTAGGAACTTGAATGTATGAGATTTCACATGCTATAAAACTATAACTGGTATGGCGAATTAGTAACTTAAAAATACATGTTTAATCAATTGAAGTTACTTTTTAGTGTATGAAAATCTTCTTCCTTCTGGATCTGTAGGCCACTTGAAGGCTAATCATTATTTGGGAATTTGTATTCTTTATGGCATCATTTTTTTGAAAAAGGTGAAGGCATCCAATTCATATGAACCTTTATCTTATTAGTTACATTTTTTGAGTTGTAACTATCTGAGTATAAGTATATGCTTTTACTAATTCCTTAAAAAGCAACTTTAGAGGCACCTGGGTGACTCAGTCGATTGAGCATCCAACTCTTGGTTTCAGCTCAGGTCATGATCTTGAGGTTCATGGGTTTGAGCCCTGCATCAGGCTCTGCACTGATAGGGTAGCCTGCCTGGGATTCTCTCTCTTCCTCTCTTTTTGCCCCTCCCCTGCTCTCTATCCCTCTCCCTCTCCCTCTCTAAGTAAATAAATAAACATTTAAAAAAGTAGCTTTAATAATTCTCTAAAACAAAATTTGAGAATTGGGGTAACTTCTGTTACATGCTGGTTTGACCCTTGGTTTAAGGCATTTCTAAATAGGATCGCAATGTGTTTTTCATATGTTGTGGATGAGGTGGGAACCCTAAGTTCATGTGAAGCAAGAAGAGCCAAGATATGCACCCTAGAGATGCTCTGATGCCACCCCGCTAAGGACATAGCTGTCAGAGCTCTGCATGGAGCTGACCTCTTCTGAAGGTGTGTTCTATTTGGCCATGGCTGAAACAGGCTTATGTCTGAGGCTTACGTTGTAAGCATATGCTGTTACTTTAGAATCTTAGATTGATGGTCTCGTACCAGTATGACTTGTAGGAAAACAAGTATTTTCTTCTCCTCCATAAAACCTTTCCCTGAATTTCTGTGATTAGATGGAGATGCACTTCTGTTCCTAGAGTCTTGTTCTAGCCTATGAAGGCTTTATCTCTGGTCACTTACACAGAAGAACTGGAATGATCTGATAGTTGTATGTGGACAGTTTTATGTCAACCTCCCTTACTTAATAGTTTTCACATGTCAGTTTGCAAGAAAGGTGGTTGGGTAGCAATATGCTCCTTTAAAATTTTTTTTTAAGTTTTATTTATTTATTTTGAGAAGAGAGAGAACAAGCAGGGGAGAAGCAGAGAGAGAGGGAGAGAGAGAATCCTAAGCAAGCTCTGCACTGTCAGTACAGAGACTGATGTAGGTCTTGAAGGCATGAACCATGAGACCATGATCTGAGCTGAAACCAAAAGTTTCAACTGACTGAGTCTCCCAGGTGCCCCAGCAATAGCCTCCTTTGATGGTAAGCCTCATTATGTATCACTTTAAAGTTTGAGAAACCAAGACTTTCTACACTTAAAAAAAAGTTTTTTTTATTGGGGTTCTGGTGATGAGAAACAAAAGTGGTTCTTGGAAAACTTCCAGAGAAAGATGATCCCCAAACCTACATCTCAGATGCTTATTTGTCCTTGACAATTCTGTGTCTTTTCTCAACAACAGTAGGTACTGTTATGCCTCTTTTATTCATGAAGAGTTTGAGACCCAGAGGTTACATATGGTTACATGGGCATCTCAGTGCAGAACTGAACCAAGGTCCTTTGACTCAAAATGAGTTTTCTTTATTGTCAGACTGGCATCTGGAATGACAAACTAATGCTCCGACTGACCACCCACTTAGATACTCCACTCTCACTTTAAATTCATTCTAACTAAATGTGTTCATTACCAAATCCTCCCCTTGACTATTATTTCCAATACCCCTTTCTGTTAGGGTCTCTAAGTAATTGGTTTCCAGTGGCCAATGTTTCTTCTGTTTTCCTTTAGTCTTTCAGCCCATAAGTCTTGAAATTTCTGTCTTTGCCAATGTCTCTCAAATTGGATTAAAAAATGTTTATTTTGAGAGAGAGAGAGAGGGAGAGAGAGAGAGAGGGAGAGAGAAAGAGAGAGAGAGAGCGTGCACGTGAGTGCAAGGGAGGGGCAGAGAGAGGGAGAGAGAATCCCAAGCAGGCTCTGCTCTGTCAGCACAGAGCCTGGCATGGGGCTCGAACCCATGAACTGTGAGATCATGACCTGAGCTGGAACCAAGAGTCGGATGTTTAACTGATTGATCCACCCAGGTGCTCCTCAAATTGGATTTTTAAATTTTACTTAATTTTTCCCCATCATGATCAATGCGACCTCTACCCTCATCACCTCTACCTCCAATATGACCTCCATCTCTGATATTTGTCATTGTCACCATCACTATCACCACCTCCATTACTTCTACCTCTACTGTTTGAGATCAAGTTCTG